TAGTATATAATTAGAATTTAAATAGTAGATGCTGCATTCTTACTGATTTTGTTAGAACTGACAGTTCTGACTTTGGTATACTTGTTTGTAATTTTTAAGTACTTAATATTATTTTATTCACTTATATCAGAAAAAGTTTTGTTTCACTTTAATAGCTTTAAATATTATTTTGCTAGTTTTTTCTGTATATATAGATATCTATGCATCTAGCCTCTATTTTAATTTGTCCCTATGCCATTTTAGGTATATTATTGAAGAATTAGAACAGAACATCTTATTTAAAAAACTACAATCTAATTGGGGAAAAAAAAACCCAGGAAATTAAGTTTATGAAATTAACTCCTTGTTTTACACTCAAATTTTGCCAATGTTTCTATAAAAACTGTTTTTCCTTCTACTTCAAGATCAGTCTAAAGATAATGTCTTTCAGCTGTTGATTTATTGGCCTTTTCAGTGTCAGGTTAGAATAATTTCTCAACCTTTTATACATTTTTGCCTTGGCGTACTTGAGTATAGAGCAAATATTTTGTAGCTTATCTCTCAATTTGGGCTAGTTAGAGGTTTGTTTGTTTTGGGGTATATTAGTGTATTTTGTTTTGTTTTCAATTTTTATTATTTCTTCTTACTTGAAAATACTGCCTGAGCATCTTAAGGGAATATTGAATCAGGTTGGCTTTAATTTTCCCTAGGTATACTTGACTTAATTGGTATGTATTCATTATATTTCAGAGAATGGTAGTTAATAAACAATATAATATATGAAGTCATTAGAAGTTTTATAATATTTAATTATTGATTAGGACTATAAATATTATTCAGAAAACATTTAAATTAGAGAGAATATTTTCCACAGAAAATGAAAACCTGCATGAATTCTTTATTTGTTATTTATTATTGTATTTTATGGAGAAGGCATTCTAGTCTGCTTCCTCTTAACCTCTTAATTAAGTCTGCTTTCTAGATCTAATATAGCAAGACAAATAGAAAAGGCATTCATTACTTGTAATTTATAGAATTTATTTCATGGAAAATTTACATGGCATTTTGTTTGTATGTTTGCCCTGACTAATTTAATCTTAAACTGTTCAAACTCTGTAACTTCTGTGTACATTTCCAGACCTCACTAGGTCTGGCAAAAATAACACATAGTTTTATGTCCATATGATCATTTAATATTTTACTGTGATTCACTTAGACTAACAATAAGAATTTTTATTGTTGTTATCTTTATCCTTTCTTTTCCAATGAACTATCTTGTACAGTTTCTGGATTAGAATAAATATGGCTGTAATCTCTTCAGATTCTTTAGAAACAAAAAAACTTGCTTAATTATTTTGGATCCTTCATATATGTGTAGTCCTGGAAACATACTTTAACAGAATTTTTTCTTTGCCTTCAAGATGGAACTGACTTATAGCTGACCTTTCACTAGGTCTTCTGAGGCTGTAAATTACACAGGAAGAGACTGCTTATTTTTCTTCTGTGAAGTTGCTGAAGGATTTGAACCACATGCCTTTAGGTTGACAGCACAACTCCTTACCACTATGCCATGAGAGAGAGCTCTTTTTAACTGAATATACATTACCTTATTATTGGTAGTGTTAAAATTGGGTTGTTGTTATTATGTGCCATTGAGTCGTTTGCGACTCATAGCGACCCTATCTACAAGAGCTCTAAACGCTCTTCTATCCTGTGCTAACCTAGCAATCTCAAACGCACTTATTCCCATCGCTCCAGTCACAGAATTGATCTATCTCATCAAAGGTCTTCCTCTCCTTCGCTGCCCCTCCACTCTGCCAAATATGATGTCCCTCTCCAAGGACCAGGCCCTCCTTGCAACATGCCCAAAGTATGTCAGATGAAGATTCAGAATCCTTAACTCCAAGGAGCATTCTGGCTTCACCTTCTCCAGGACAAACCTGTTTGTTCTCCTGGCAGTCCATGGTATATTCAACACTCTTCTCCAGCACCACAGCTCAAAGGCATCAATACTCTGCCTGGATCAGGCGCACCTTAGTCTCCAGCCTGATGTCATTGTTTTCAGTACTCTTGAGAGGTCCCTCACAGCTGACTTTCCCAATGCAATTCATCTCCTGATTTCCTGGCTGCTGCTACCAAGAGTGTTGATTGTGGAGCCAAGCAAACTAAAACTGTTGACTATCTCAATCTCTTCACCATCCATACTGATGCTGCCAATTGGCCCAGTGGTGAGAATCTTTGTTTTCTTGATGTTGAGCTTCACTCCATATAGGAGGCTGCAGTCCTTGACCTTCTGTAGCAAGTGCTTCAGGTCCTCCTCAGTTTCAGCAAGTAGGGTTGTGTCATCTGCATAATGCAGGTTGTTGATGACTCTTCCACCAATCCTGATGTCACATTCCTCTTCGTACAGCCCAGCATCTTGGATGATCTGTTCTGCATAGAGATTGAAAAGGTATGGAGACAGAATACAAGACCCCCTTCTTGATTTTGAACCATGTAGTGTCTCTTTGTTCTGTTCTGATGACTGCCTCTTGGTCCAAGTATAGGTTTCGCATTAGCACGATCAAATGTTCTGGGATTCCCATTCTTCTCAGAGTTAGCCACAGCTTGTTGTGATCCACACAGTCAAAAGCCTTTGCGTAGTCAATGAAGCACAGATAGACATTTTTCTGGTATTCTTTGCTTTCTGCCAAAATCCATCTAACATTAACTATAATATCCCTAGTACCACGACCTCTTCTAAATCCAGCCTGTACATCTGGCAGTTCTCTGTTGACATATTGTTCTAAATGTTTTTGGATAATTTTCAGCAGAATCTTGTGATATTAATGATATTGTTGGATGATTTCTACACTCTGTTGGGTCACCTTTCTTTGGAATTGGAACAAATATCAATCTTTTCCAGTCAGTGGGCTAGCTGGCCCTTTTCCAGATTTCTTGGCACAACATAGTGAGCACGTCCAGGGCAGTGTCTGTTGAAATATGTCAATTTGTATGCCGTCAACTCCTGGAGCCTTTTTTTTTTTGCCAATTCCTTCAGAGCAATTTGAACTTCCTCCTTAAAATTATAAGATTAAAATTACAATCATTCATTCATTTGTTTGGCAAATCTTTAAATACTGTGTTCTGTGAGTTGGGAAAAATATAAGATGCTTGGGATATAATGGTGACCAAAACAGACAGAAACTTTCACCTGAGGGAAACTATAAAATATATGAATTAATCAGGAAGATGTTGTCAAATAATGTGTCAGGGTAAAAAGTAAACCAACAAATAGGCTTTTGTGAGTCAAAGTACTTGATAGCTTATTTTAGCTTGATGTTCTGAGATGATTCTTCCGAAGAGATGGCATCTAAGTAGAGACTTGAATGTCAAGAGAGATCTCCTTGGACTGAATAGGGGAGAAAGCATGGAAGGCGCTGAGCAACAGCTGGTACTAGGGCCTTGAGTTGGGATTAAAGTTTATCTATTCTGTAAAATAAACCTAATCTGATTTGGAGCAGACTGAAAAGTGGAGAGAGTGAGAAGTCAGAGGGCTAGGGAAAGTGACACATCTATACTCTCCATGGTATTGGTT